AGAGGAAGGTTTTCAGGCGGGATGTGAAAAAGGGGAGAGGGGCCAAGGTGGAGGGATTGAGGGAGAGTGTTCCAGAGTTTCAGGTCGTAGTGGATAAAAGCGCGACCTCCAATGGTAGAGCAGAGGGCGAGGAACAAGCAGGAGCCGGTGCCAGTCGAGCGGAGGAGCGTTAGGCAGGTGCAGATAAATGGATTTGAACACGAGTGTGAGGATCTTGAAGTCAATACGTTCGGTGATAGGTGGGGGCGGGAGGAGAACCCATTTGCCTAGATGAAATGAAGCGGTTGGTTAAGTAGGACTCGAACCATGCAAGTGCAGATCCCACTAAGGTGGACGAGGTAGGAGAGGCGGTGGAGGAAGATGGCATGGTCGACTGTGTTGAATGCGGCAGAGAGATCCAGGAAGACAAGGAAGCAGAGGGAGCGCTGCTGACAGTTAGAAAAGATGTTGTTTGTGACTTTGACAAGTGCTGACTCTGTGCTGTGGACAGTCAGGGTGAAAACCAGACTGCAGCGGCTCGAGGAGGGAGTGGAGGAAGAGGTGTGACCAAAGTTCACCTGTAACAATATGTTACAGGACTTTAGTAAGGAAGGGTAGGGGAAATGGGATGGTAGTGTGAGAAGTTAGAGGGATCGAGGGTGTTTTTTTGAGGAGGGGTATGGTGTTAATAGTGGTTTTCAGAGGAAGTGGAACAGAGCCTGAGGAGAGAGATTGGTTGACTATGTTGGCCAGCAGGGGGGGAGATAAAGGCATTATATCAAATGCAGTATTATGATGATGATGATTCCAAATGTCCACGTTTCAATGCGTCTGATTCAGTATTATAACACATATCAAACAGAGCTATTCTGCCTTATCCATTTGTCTTAACGTCTTTTTATCCCTTTAGCAGCACTTTGGTTCCATCATTTTGCAAATAATAATAGTAATATTATTTTGGTCACTCAATCAATGAATGTTTGGGGACACTGCTGTGCGCAATTATCTGCCATGTTTCACACACAAAGTATACAGTCAATCCAATTTACAGTAGGGTTAGGGTTAGTCGCTGTGAAGCACTCTAAGATGTCTTGAAGATGTGGTAAATCGCTATATCAATGGAAGTATTATTATTATTATCTGGGGGGTGGGAGGGAAAACAATATAATTGTGATACTCCAAACATCTTTGGCTCCTTAACAAAGGAACCAGATTAATAGCTTAAAATTATTTTTATGCACTTCCCCCACACACACCTGAAAAATTGTAGCTCACAAAGACGCCCTGAAAAGTATTGGGTTCCTCTATCTTGGATTCCGCTCAACATGGATCAAGCACCGAGAAATGGCAACTCCCAAAGCTTATTCAGGGGATACTATCATAACTGCATCTGATACAATACGATTTACATTTATATTGTACCTTTCACATCAAGAGGACATCCCAAAGCACTTCATAGTGCTAGCTGGGCCTCCGAGTTCAGAGTGGGTGAGGGTAAAGACAACCAAAAGAGCGGTCAAATAGTTAGTTTTTAGACCTGATTTGATTCAGGGAGACTGATCTCCTGTAAATAGGCCCTAGAGAGACACCTCTCCTCATTCGCAAAAGGCAATGGAAGCATCGCTTAAATCATTTTAGGGCTCAATTGAATTGAACAGGTTTTCAGCCTTTGAGTTTCCAGTGTGATCAAGCTTAGCTTTTCATCACACTTCCCAGCAGGACACCTCTTTGATGGTGCAGTCAGGCTCAACTCTCCACTGTGCATATTCCCTAAACTCTGCAATTTATACTCAAAGTATCAGTCAAGCAGGGCTCTTATATTGGGCTTTCTCTCAAGCTTGGCTGACACATTGACTATCCACCAAATGTTTTAAACAAAATTCCCATCTGCCTTTTGAGGTGAGTGTTAAAGATCCCATGATACTATTCGAAAAGAGAGGGAGTTTTTCCCAGTGTACTGGCTAACAATACCCCAGAACCAAATGATCATTCACTTCATTGCTGTGTGGAAGGCTGTTGTTGAAAGGGCAATTTGAAGCTGGATGACTTCCAAAATACCAAGTCACTGCAATTTAAACAAAAATTCTGTGAAGTGCTTTGAGACCTTCTGCTGACCATATCAAATGCAAGGATTAATTTTTCTCTCTCTACCTACTTTCAGTTTTTTATTCAAATGTCAGGCAATTATAAAAATTACTGGGCAGGATGAGATCATTTAGCCCATTCATAGAGGTACAACGCAATGCAATATAATTTACATTTATCTAGCGCTTTTCCTGTCAAGAGGATGTCTCAAAGCGCTTCACACTGCTGGCTCGCTACCTGAGCTGGGGGAGGAAGCTGAGGGTTTGGAGAAAGGAAGGGTAACCAACAGGCCGGTCAGAGGTGTCTTCAGATAGAATTTGAATGAAGCGAGAGAGAGAACAAGTTGGAGTGACTCCAGGAAGGAGCTTGAACAGCTGAAAGTCCATCCCGCTAATGGTAGGCGGAGGTGATTAAATTGATGGTCCCTCAAGCATCCATTCACCCCTGTCCTCATTCTTTGCTCTTTCACCATAGTCTTTGACCTTCCTCCTCTTCAAATCTTTAGTTTTGAGATGCTATCCTGCGTGAACTATACTATATAAATGCAAGTTGTTGGTTGTGCTGTTTAGACAATTCCCCGATGCTTTAGTTTTTTATAATGTCCTTACTCCACACACCAGTGTTTACCGAGCACTAAGTAGGAAGTAAGTTGATTGGCGTATCGTTTTCTGGGGCTAATAACCCATTCAAAAAAAAATAATGATTCGGTCACTCAATCCATGACTGTTTGTGGAACACTCCTGTGCGCAATTGCCTGCTACGTATTGCCCACAAAATATAGTCATTTCACTTGACAGTATATCTTGTGAAACATTTTAAGACGTCTAAATGATGCAGTAAGGTGCTATATCAAATGTAAAAATTATTGATAATGAAAAGGTTGAGCAATTTGCGGATGTCAGGGGAAAAACAAACTCCTTGATACACAATTTTGAGCTTAATAGTGAAAAAAAAGCCCAGGGAGCACAATAGGAGAATAAGTACCACAAAGTGTTAACAGGAGATCACAGAAAAACCATCCAGTTTATAATCTGCAGCACATCTGCAGCAGTAACAACTGCAATACAACTGGAAGAAATGCGTTGATTTACGAAACCCGGTTCATTTGCCGTTGATTCTATTGAAGAGCGCAAAGCCCTTTGCTTTCGTTTACACCTCCGAATTGTGTATGCCCTGCGCTGGGATTTCAGTGAAAGAAATAATAAACTCTGTAAAATTGAAAATTGTGACATTATTTCTTTCTGCCTGGTGCTGGACACCATCTGCCTGGTATCATTGACTCAATGTTACCAGAAAATAACCCATAGAGTTGCTATCGGGGATTGAAGTGCTCTGGATAGAAAGGCTGGGGGTCACCAACAAGCGTTTATCTTCCAAAGGAAATAATAAGAACTGAGATGACTTTAAGTGGTCTTCTCGACAGCACAGTAACAATTTCAGGTGCCGGTAGAGCATCGGTCCATCTCCCCGACCTGCCCGCTCTTTCACAAGCTCTGTTTGATCTCTTCAGCTTTCAGTGGGATTCATTCCATTCCACATTCCCTTTGCCTTGCTCCCTCCCTTGCCTCCTTCAAGGCACGTCTCAAGAGCCTCTTACCCTCCCTATCCTCCACCCCTCCTGATCCCAAAGCCCTGCTCAAGTCCAAATCCCTGCTTGTCCAGCGTCTTGATATGTCCTCTCGATGGGAAAGATGCAATACAAATGTAATTTATTGTTGTTGTTGTTCAGCTTTGTAGGTGTCAATCTGGCTCAGCTGGTAGCACTCGCACGAGTCAGAAGATTGTGGGTTCAAGCCCCACGTCGGGCTTTGAGCAGTCCAGGCTGACACTCTGATATACCACTGGGGTCTTGCTGTATTTATTGTTTTGAGGTGCTGTGCTTTGGATAAGCCAAGGTCCTGTCTGCCTGTTCGGGTGGACTTTAAAGTTAATCAAATAAATATAATTGAGAACATAAAAATTTGCTAGGCGAAGGAAGACTACCACCATCCTGGCATCGCATGACATGTGTCCCAAGTTATATACTGTATCCCAAGATATTATTTCCTAACAGAAATCTATCTAGTTTGTTCTTGAAAGAATCAACACTTTCTGCTTCCACTGTCTCTCTAGGGAGTCTGTTCCATACGTTTGTTTACTGACTAAATTGATCATTCCCTTAATGGCTGTGTGTGGGCACTTTGCTGTGTGCAAATTGGCTGTTGTGTTCACCTACAAATATAGAGTCATGACACTTAACAGAAAACTACAAAATCCTTTATGACGTTTTGATGTGATAAGGTGTTGTATCAAATGCTAGGATTATTATTGTTGTTGTTATTAAAAAGTTTCCTGGTTTGAGATTGCTTCCCAGTTGCTGTTTCTTTTGCACAATATATTTACATCCCCACTGTCACCTTTGAAAGTCGCCGAAACACTCAGCTTGACAGGCAGATCTCTCTCTCCTCCTCATCCTCCCCCCTTCCTGCTTCTTTGGCATAAATAATGTTACTGAAAACTAAACCTTATAATGGCCTGACCTTTGTCACACTAAAACATAAAGCAAAGGGTTGAAAGGTTCTCATACATAAGGAAAACAAAAGCCCAAGAGACTAGAGAAAGAGAGAGAGAGTGTACATCAATTTCATATCAAAGTTAGGCAAGGTGCATTGGTCTATTAATGTGTGACAGATATCCTCTGGGATTTATGCAGCGGATTGCAAATGGAAACATTGAAATATGTATTACATTCTAAAAAGAAAGGGGACAAAGCTTCAGTGTAATACATGACCTCTCACGTGTTGCCCGGAGTTGGAATTTAAGGATAGTGTGGATGGGTCAGGCAGCTGTTCTGGCACGTAGCAGAGCAACAGCTCGAAACACAAACAAACAAAAAGAACGACGGCGGTATTTAGTGCTTGACTGACGCTCCGAAGCGCGGCACCTGGTTTTCTCACCTTGCGCGCAACGACAGTGGAATCCGCCAATCGTGCGGACACAGGCTGCTCCATTTTTACAGGGATCAGAAGAACATTCATCAATGTCTGCGGAGCAGTTTTTGCCTGGCAGAAAAGAAAATGAAACATTAAAACTATAAATCATCTTGAGCTGGAACAGGCAGCGGATGTCGCTTCCCACTCCGCGTGGCATCAATATCATCTGACTTTATAAGTCCACAAAATATTTCTCTACTGTGCACGATGCACTGTAATTGAACACACTCTCTCTCTCTCTCTGGCGTGTGTTTGTGGATAATATAGTCTGTGCATGAAAGAAACATATGCACATAACTTTGTAATCTTGGCTCAATTCCTTTCACAGGATCACAAGATTGGTCTGGATGCAGAAAACCTTTTCACCCCCCTTCATTGCATCGAGTTGCTGTTTAAATGAGTCCAGTGTCCTGGCCTCAACCACCTTTCCTGGTAACCATGTTCCAGTCATTGATCACCCTCTGTGTAAACAACAACCTTCTGGTTTCTGTCTTGAACTTGTTCTTTAATACTCTAAACCTATGTCTTCTTGCTCTACTAAATATAAATATTTTGCCCATAAAATATACTATACAGTCAATCCAATTTTGAAATACATATCCTGTGAAGCTCTTTGAGACGTCTCAACAACATGATAAGGTGCTATATCAAATACAAGGATTATTATCATTATCGTTATTGTTTTGATATTTAGAAAGTTTGCTTTTTAGCCAAGGCAAGTTAAGCTTTTTAACCATGGCAAGTTAAGCCCTCCCAATGTGAAAGGCTCTATATAAATATAAATTGCATTGTATCATCAATAATACTGCTTAAATCTATTATCGACATTTGCACGTAGGGAGTAAATCTTAGTGACTGTGTATATTTTGCAGGCGAACAGCTAATTTGTGCAGGGCATAGAGCCCATGAAGTGAATAACCATATGTATCTGGAGGATTGTTGACCAGGACAACGACACCTTTGCTGTCAAAGTGTATAAACAAATTGTTATTGTTCTTTTTATAACAATACATGTGCATTTGATCGACTGCCTATCAACAGCAAAACCATTTGTAGGAAATCTCTGCATATTTTGTAGGAGAATAGAAAATGACCTTTTTTCTGGGGGAGGAATGCTGGCCAGGATGCCAGGAGTATCTCCTTTCTCTTTTCAAATTGTGCTGTGGGTTTATCAACGTCTATCTGAATGGGCCATCAGTTTGAGGGCTGAAGGACGACACCTCCGACAATACCGTGCTCTCTCCCCCCGCAACCCCCAGCACTTCACTGGATCACCAGGCGACATTGGAGTGAGTGACCAATGTTATTGGGGGGATTGTTGGCCAGGACACCGGGAGAAATTGTGACTCACGTTATGATATCTAATTGGTTATAGTGGTAAGTTTGCTTGTTGCAGTGTCCAAAAGTTTCCACGAAGATCGTAGGCCCCGCAATGTCATCCCTCCCTGAATGGTTGCAGGTTAATGTGGGAAATAAACAATGGCGCAGACTAGTTGAGCTGAATGGCCTGGATCTATGCTTTATCCCTCTACCTATGTAATTCTGTGTAGAGCTACGTAGCATGGAATCAGGCCATTTATCCAAACTAGTCCGTGGCTGTGTTCATAATCCACATGAGCTCCGGTTCTTCACCTATACCTCTCTGTTCCCTTCTCCCTCTTGTATTCTATCTAATTCTCACCATGGTGCCATCATAAGTTTGATAGCCAAGACATAGGGAGAAACTTCCTTTTCAAATAGTGCCATGGGATCTTATCATCCACCACAGGCAGACGGGACCCTAGTTTAACATTTCATCCGAATAACGGCACCTCCGACAATACAACACCCCCCAACACTGCACTGGAGTATCAGTATAAACTGGGAGTTCAAAGTCTTGACTTGGGGCTTGAAATGACAATCTTTTGACTCAGAAGCAAGCGTGCTACCAACAAAGCCAGGGTTGACACTCAATGAAAGGTGCAACATCTGGAAAAAAGAGGAAATGAGGCTGAACTAATCTTACGATACAATTTATACTTATATAGCGGCTTTCATGTCTGGAGACTGTCTCAAAGCGCTTGTCAATTTAGTCCCAATATAGGTCTTTACCCACAACCTTCTGACTCAGGTGAGAGTGCTACCAACTGAACCAGGCTGACACTTTCAAGATACAGAAAGACAACCATTAGAGGTAACAGCAGCAGCAATAGGGTAGCCTTCAAGGAGCAGTAAGTTAAAATAATTATTTATAGCACAATGGGTACCTGGGAATGAATGTGACAGTAATCTTCTTGATGGGCTCAGATAACATTTTATCGCAGTTTATAACTGTCATCCGATGCTCCGAGATTAAATTACAGCCTGGAAATCAGTCTGGTGTGTCTGTTGTACAGGATAAGCTATGCGGTTCAGCTTTGGGTTCATTTCTGTTTTGTCAGTACCAGCATTGCCCACACTGAGCACAATGACATTCACACCGCCTGATTAATGATCACCACCGAGTATTGCAAGTTCTGAAAGTTTGCAGCTGATTACAGTGAAAATCCATGACCGATATTTATTACAACCTTGTCTTATCATTGTGCGAATCTTGTTGTTTTACATGCTCTGCAGTGATACATTTCCACTTGTCCTTATTCTGCAACCATAGCTTGGAAACGCTATTAGCTGAGCTGTAGTGTCATTGTACCTCCAACAATAGTGCGCTTATTACTGAGGGCAGTAGGTTGTGAGTTCAAGTCCCTTGCACATAGAAAAAGTCTACATGGGTGTAATCTTGCACTTTTGTGGAGTCCTGTAGCATGTTGGTTGGAGCACTTGCCTCGCAAGTAAGAGGACCCGGGTTCGATTCCGAATGGGGACAAATCTTTAGGCAAGTTTCCTTACTCCACACACTTAGCAGTAAGTAGAAACCCGGTTCTTAGGCGATTGGCGGATTGCTTCCGGGGGATAATAATCCCTTCATTTTTAAAAACAAATTGTGGTCACTTCAATCCACAACTGTTTGTAGGGACACTGCTGTGTGCAATTGTTTGCCGTATTTTGCCCACAAAATGTACAGTCAATTCACTTTACAGTATATTCTGTGAAGCATTTCGCCCACAAATATACAGTCAATTCACTTTACAGCATATTGTGTGAAGCGCTTTGAGACGTCTCGAAACGTGATAAGGCACTATATCAAATGCAATAATTGTTATCAATATTATTAGTAATAGTATCAGAGATGAGGCACGAGAGCTCTGAGCTCAAAGGGAAACAGTGTGTGTTTGGTGTGTGCTTCATGGCATAAGAAGGGTTCCAAGCAAGTTGTTCCACTTTAAGGAGTAACAATTCTGACACTACGCCTCAGACGTTCTGTGACCCAATTTGTTGAGTTTCTTTTTTTGACAACAAACAAAATTTCTGAGGTGTTTGAGTTGTTTCAAACAAAGAGGTAGTGTTGTCAAAAGTTCAATAATACCTATTATATTCCAATACAAAACAAATCTACATTGATGTTGTGCTTTTTTCTACATCAGGAGACATCCCAAGGGGCTTGAGAGTCCTGGCTTTCATGTTTGTGCTTCACAAAGTTATATATACTCTAGTGTACACTGACTGTTTACTCTGAGGGCAAAGGTGTCAGCCAATTTGTGCAAAGCAATGCCCCACAAACAGCCATGATGTCAATGTTCAATTGTATTTGGGGGTTTGTTGGTCAGGACACCGGGAGAGGGAAACTCCCTTCTCTTTTTGAATCACGCCAAGGGATCTTTAATGTCCACCTGAACAGGCAGATAAACTGGATCTTGGTTTGTCATCCAAAGGATGGCACCTCTGGCAATGGCGTGCACCCCACAGTGGTCCTTATATTTGGCTGAACTGCAGTGCAAAGCTGTTTGAATGCGACAAGTTCCTTTTCGCATCTCATAGTGTTGGCGAGGTTTGGAATAGCGCAATAAATGTATTTCTCAGGTGGTAAACATGTCAGAGGGAACAATCCTCAGAATGAAAAATGTACTAGGCAGACATAACTTGCAATTATGAGGAAGAATTGAAGTTGTCAAAACGACATGGTCATGTCTCATGGTCCAGTAAATCAGAACAGTTTACACTTAAGTGTCCGGACTTAGAAGTCGAGGAGATTAGATGTGTTGACATACTCTGCTACACTGAAACAGCAACCTTCTGTCTGAAAGAGGTTGAGCACTTTAAATTGCATTTTCTCCGCAGTTATGATCAAAGTGAGGAGAAGTAGCACAAAGTGCGAAGCTATTAATACGAATAATAACAATAATAATCCTTGCATTTGATACAGTGTCTTATCACATCATTGAGATGCCTCAAAGCGCTTCACAGAATATACTGTGAAGTGAATTGACTGTGTATTTTGTGGGCGAACCGTGGCAGCCAATTGCGCACAGCAGTGTCCTACAAGCAGTTGTGGATTGAGTGTTCAAATTATTTTTTGAGGGATTGTTACCCCCACAAAGCTATCCGCCAATCGACTAACAATCAGGTTCCTACTTACTGCTACAGAGGCATATGGACCAAAGAAACTTACCTAAGGTTTGCCCTGTCCGGGTCCGGCAAGTGCTGTAACCCAATATGCTGCAGAATTCCACAGAGTCATGTAACATATTGCTTAGAGCACTTGCGTCCCATTTATTCAGTGCCAGGAGAACTTCAGAGGAAATGCTTGCGTCCTCCCTGAGCTCCACTGGCTCCTGGGATCTCAGAGGATCGAAAGTACAATGCCATGCAATGCAGTCACTGAAGCCATTTTGAGATGTCTCGATGATGTTATAAAGTACGATACACAAGAATTATGATCATAATATTCTCTCCTCTGACCACACTCCTCCTCTTGCCTTCTCCACTCAGCCACTTGGATATCCCCTGCACTTTCCAAGCTGCCGTCAGTGGCCGAGCCTTCGGTCATTATGTCCCAAACCCCAGGAACTCACTCCCTCTACCCCTCTGTCTCGCTCCATCTCTCTTCAAATTCGCCCTTGAAACCTGTCTTTTCGACCGTGCCTACAGCACCTCCCTTCTACCCCTCCTCCTCTGCCTTGCTCGGCATCTAATACTATCACTGCGAAGCACTCTGAGATGTTATCCTATGCAGACAAATCAAAGTTGTATGATCATGTCTGCAAATCCTTCCATGGTCTCACACCATCTTACCTTAGCGATCTCATTTTGCTGCCTGGCAACCACCACTCCATTTGTCTAACACACTGAGATGCTCTTTGATAATAATAAAAAAAATAATTACAGTAACATAATAAACCAGATTATTGGACCCCACCAGATTTTTCAAATTACGTTTATCTTAATAAACGCAATTTAAAAATCTGCCTCTTAATATCTCCTTTAAAACATCCCATCAGCCTGGCTTCAATTGGTAGATCTCTCTTCTATAATAATAATATAACAATAATAATCCTTGCATTTGATGTAGCACTTGATCACATCATTGAGACGTCTTAAATCATTATATTGTGGGTGAAATGTGGCAGCCAATTGCACACAGCAGTGTCCCACAAACTTTTTTTTTAGGGAAGGGATTATTACCCCCGGAAAACCATACCAATCGACTAACAACCGAGTTTCTACTTACTGCTCGAAAAATACAGGCGTGTGGAGTAGGGAAACTTGCCTAAGCTTTTGCCCTGCCCAGGAATCAAACTTGAGTCCTCTCGCTTGCAAATCTCCCCAATTCATCTCCCGTTGCCCCCTCTAGTGAGTGACTCTCCACATTGTGGAGTCCTGCAGCTCAGTGGTTAGAGAACTCGCTTTGCAAGCGAGAGACCTGAGTTCAATTCCAGGCAGAGGGCGAAACCTTGGGCAAGTTTCCTTACTCCACACGCGTAATAATAATCCCTCCAAAAAACAAAACAATAATAAATTGGTAATTTTCAATCTACGACTGTTTGTGGGTCATTGCTGTGCGCAATTGGCTGCCGCGTTCGCCCACAAATATACAGTTAATTCACAATAACACAACAAGATTCCATTTATAGAGCACCTTTCACGTCGGGAGGACGTCCCAAGGCGCTGTATAGTTGGGTCAGGACCCGAGGAGGGTGGAATTGGTCAGGGTGAGGGGAGGGAAGGGAGGGAGAGAGGAGGGGGTAGAGAGTCGAGAGGGGAGCTGAAGGCACGGTCAAAGAGAAAGGTCTTGAGACCGGCCTTGAAGGAGGAAAGGGAGGAGGCGGCGAAGGCACTAGGGGATGGAGTTCCAGAACTTTACAGTGTGTTCTGTGAAGCGCTTTGGGACCTCCTCCCGACGTGAAAAGCGCTATATCAAATGCACGGATCATTATTATTATAAGGTGAATGCTCCATCAAATACACTTTCAGTTCCCACGTGGGGACTCTGAGCTCAAAGTTAAAGCTGACATTCTATCCAAGTGCAGGATGGAATGTGTGATATGGCGTCCTTCGAATGAAACGTTAAACCGAGGTCCCGTCAGCCTGCTCAGGTGGACATTAAAGAACCCAATGACACAACTGGAAAAGCGAAGGGAGTTCCTCTCGGTGTCCTGGCCACCAATCCTCCAGATGAAATGGGTCGTTGCTCAGGATGTCAGCCAAGACTGTGAGTGCAAAGTGCTGACATATGTGGATCTTAACCGCACAACCTTCTAACTCAGGGGTAAGAGTACTACTGGCTGAGTCAGGCTGACTACCAGGCTATCGACTGCTTGACGTGTTCAAAGAGCCTTACCTGTGACGCCCACAGGGCAGATGCAAGCGTAGTCTGCCACCAGGTCTAGGCAGGTTGAAGCGTTCTCACAGTATCCGTAACTGCAGTCATCAAAGTTAATTTCACAGTTCAGCCCCTCGTACCCTGGGAAAAAGAAAGATTTGCTTGATGCCCATTTATAACCATTTTCAACAGCTACTGTATCGATTGTTCTCTGTCAGCTGATAAATTACGAACAGTCAGAAAATACCAGATAAATGCCCTTTGTCCTATTTTTCTGTCAAAACAATTTAGCACACAAGTCCTTCGGATGAGATGTTAAACCGAGGTCCCGTTTGCCTGTTCAGATGGATTTTAAAGATCCCACGGCCCGATTCGAAAAGAGAAGAGATTTATAGTACATCCTGTGAAGTGCTTTGAGATGTCTTGATGGTGTGATAAGGCGCTATATAAAATGCAAGGATTTTTACATACATGAGGAGCATATTCTATTATGACTGCACCAGGCAAAAGAACAAGAGGGCAGATGAGGAGTATTTTTTCAGGTAGCGAGTTGTTACGATCTGGAATGCAATGGCTGACAGGGTGGTGGAAGAAGGTTCAATAATAACTTTCAAAAGGGAATTGATATATATAGTTGAAAAGAAAAAAAATGTTGCAGGGCTATGGGAAAAGAGTGGAGGAGTTGGATTAATTGGATAGCTGTTTCATAAAGAGCCAGCACAGGCACGATGGGCCAAATGGCCTTCTTTTGTGCTATAAGATTGCATAATTTTATGATTGTAATCTGAGGAAGGTTTCAGGCGCCAAAAGCGCAGACATTCATCAGAACAAAGATATCTGATCGTCAACGCCTGTGAAATGGAAAAGATTTATTTGGTGTCCTGGTCAACAATCCTCCAGATAAAATAATGATTCACATCATAGCTGTTTGTGGGATCTTGCAGTGCACAAAATGGCAGCCTTGTCTGTCTACATACCCCGTCATGGCATCTCACAGCAATGTCTGTGAAGCACATGGAGACACCTTGCTGTTATAAAATACAAGTTCTTTCTCGGTTTCTCTTTTTTCTCCTATTGCTCTTTCAGTCATTGTTTCTTCTCTCACTTTCGCTTTATTTCCTTCTCCCTCTTTCTCACGCACAATTTCTTTCTTTTTCCATACCACCCTGTCCGCTCCCTCTGCTCACCGCACTCCGGCCTGCTTCATGTCCCCTCTCCTGCCATCCCCACCATCAGCGATCGGGCCTTCAGCCTCTCTGACCCCACTTTTTGGAACTCCATCCCACAGTCCCTCCACCTCGCCCCCTCCCTCAGCTCCTTGAAGACCATCTCAAGACCCTCCTCTTCAACCGTGCTTCGGATTATCCTCGTGCCCCTACTCTCCCTCTGTCCTGATCTGAAGCCCCAGGTCAGGTATGAAACCTTGACTGACCCTCCTGATGTGAAAGGTGTTATACAACTGTAATTTGTTATTGTTGTTACATTCTCTCTCAGTTTGTTCTCTCTCTTCTGTTCTCTCTTCCGTTCTCTTTTTCTACTATTTTGTTCTACCTATCCTTTTGATCTCTCCCTCTCTCTCTCTTATCTCACAGGGTGCAGCATCAAAGCCAGTGTCGATCTGCGTCGCAAACAAGTGAAAGCACCACATCTTCCTCTATCAATGGGACCCTTTTTTTTTCCTTTGCTGCTCCATTATTTTCGCTTTAATTTCAAAGTCGGCACGTTTCAGACGACAAGAGGTTGAAAAGCTCCCCTCGTCCCCTCTTTGTGGCAATTGCTGACATTTTATGCTCTCGTAAATGTATTCTGCTGCCTGGTCGCGCTGTCTGCCTGACAGTCGTCAGCATTGTCGGAGGCCACGACGAATGCCAGCCCATCAGCCATGCCGAGGCTGAGTGCAGCCTCGTGATTTCTCCAAGGGACCTTGCAACCAATTTCCACCTCTCTCTGTGCAATAAAGATCCCGAATTATCTGGAGTTTGTTAATAATGAATCACAGGTCTCAATCTGATACAGAGTTTAACAAGAGGAGAGGGGAGAGCAGCCGAGCCACGGGGGCGGGGCAAACAGTCACGTTGAATTTGAATTGGACACGCACTAATAATTCTTGCATTTGATGTAGCGCCTCATCACATTGTCGAGGTGTCTCATCGTGCTTCACTGTGAAGTGGTGAGACTGTGTGTTGTTTCCGGGTGAATACGGCAGCCAATTTGAACACAGCAATAACTCTTGCATGTTTCTAATAATCCTTGCATTTTTATACAGTGACCTCTCTGCCCGCACCCTTTGGAACTCCCCACGGTCCCTTTTCCTTGCTCCCTCCCTTGCCTCCTTCAAAGCACGTCTCAAAATCCCAACCGCCTGCTCGGATCCAAATCACCGACTGTCCAGCACCTCGGGATATCCTCCCGACGTGAAAGGCGCTTTACAAGTGTAATTTGTTGTCGTTGTTGAGACGTCTCAAGGCGCTTCACAGAATATATTGGAAAGTGAATTGACTGTATATTTTGTGGGCGAAATGCTGTGTCCCTACAACAGTGATTGACCGATTCTACATTGGGAATCGTTGGACAAATTTTATTTGGGGGACTGTTGGCCAGGACTCCGGGAGAAACTCCCTTCTCTTTTCAAAATAGTTCCATGAGATTCTTTTACGTCCGAATGGAAAGGCAGATGGGACCTCGGTTTAATATTTCACCCAAAGGACAGGTTTGGAATTCAAATGATGACTGAAAATTTTGGGGACGCTGAAGTTTGGGGGAATAAGAGACCCTATTCACGCGTTGAGCTGTTATAACAATTGTAAGGATTATTATTTGTATTATTATTCTTTGTTGCAAGACACCTGTTGCTACTCTGCCAAGATCTCTCTGTGCAGCAAAGTAAACTCATGGTGAATCGATAAATGTTATTCAAAGTGTTTTTTTAAACAAAAGGAATTACCGTCTGGACAAAAGCAGTTATACGTATTGAGATCATCCTCGCAGACACCTCCGTTCAGACATGGGTCCGAGTCACATTCGTTCACCTCCTTCTGACAGTAAAACCCTGAGAAACCTGTCAAAAGAGAGTCGAAGTGTTAGAGTACCTGCTGGGACAGCTATTGCAGGGGCGTGCCAGTCACTTGATCGATCAATGCACTTGCTCTGTATTTGTAAGGCAGAGGGCATTCGGCTCTGCGGTGTGCTGTGTAGTTGTGCACAGAAACACACCCCACTGCGAGTGGCATTAAATAGAAATCGATGCAATTTGCTTAGAGAGAGAGAGGGGGGGGGGAGAGAGCGAGAAAGAGCGAAGCAAAAAAAATTAAGCTGTTTTTCACAAGAGCAGAGAAGGTTGAGAGCAGACCTAATGGAGGCATTTGAATAGGATGAGGGGTTTCGATGCAGCAAATGGAGTGAAACTGTTTCCTTTGGTCGGTAAGTTGGTATCTGGAGGGAGTCAATTTAGGATCAACACAGAGGGATTGGGTCAGGAGAGTTTAATTTTCACATTGAAGGTTATGAGGACATGGAATACCCGACCAACAAGTAACAGTTTAAACAGAACGTATGATAATAGTGATCATAATCATAAAAATGATCATTGCATTGACATAGCAACGTATCACGTCATCGAGACGTCTCAAAGCACTTCACAGAATATATTGTAAAGTGAATTGACTGATTTTATTGTGGGAGAAATGCAGCAGCCAATTACACACAGCAGTGTCCCGCAAACAGTCGTGGATTGAATGATCAAATTATTATTCATTAAAAAACATTTTTGAAGGGATTATTACTCCCAGAAAGTGATCCGCCCATCGACTAACAACTGGGTTCCTACTTACTGCTAGGTAAACAGAGGCGTGTGGAGTAAAGAAACTTGGTTAAGCTTTTGCCCTGCCTGGAATCGAACCCGGGTCCTCTCGCTTATGATGTGAGTACGCTAACCACTACACCACAGGACTCCATCTATCAAACTATCCATAGGGAACTAAATGAGTATCTCTCTCAGATGGCTGCTTCCTGTGCTGAAAAATTATATGAAATTGAAAAATATTTTTATAATTACCCAGTAACACAGTTCATCATCCTCGTATTTGATGTAGCGTTTTAACACATCAAAACGTCCCAAAACATCTCACTGAATTATCAGTTTTATGTAGTAATTATGTATTTCAAGACAGACAATATTTTCACTTGTCGGTCTGGCTCAGTTTGTAGCGCTGAGTCAGAACTTTGTGGTTTCATGCCCCACATTGAAAACTTTTGAATTCACGGTCCAGGCTGACACTATACTTTACAGTAAATCAAATGAACTGTGAACTGACATAGTCTATGCTAACAGTCCAGTGCAGTGTTAGAGATGTGCTGAATTGTTGGAGGTACCGTCCTTCATGGGAAGATATAGGAACAGAGGAACAGGAGAAGGCCATTCAGCCCCTTGAGCCTGTTCCGCCATTCTATCAGATCATGGCTGATGTGCATCTCATCTCCACTTTTTTGAATAATTGAATAATTCAGATCGCTCTGCCTGGGAATTGAACCCGGGTCCTCTCGCTGTGAGGTGAGCAGGCTAACCACTACACTACAGGACTCTGTACTGAAATACAGGACACAACTTCTAATCTGTACCTCTCTGACTCACGCCCTCTCAATCTGTCTTTGAGATTCCCACCTGAAGCCTACTTTTTTGACTCCACGTATGCTCTCCTCCGCTTTCTCTCTTGCTCCGCATCCAACCCTGCCACTGTGAACCACTCCGCGATGTTGTCCTAAGTGAAGGGAGCTATTTAAATGCAAATTGTAAATGTAAATGCAAATGCAAACCACTCCGAGACGTCCTCCCGACGTGAAAAGCGCTATATCAAAAGCAAGGATGATTATTTTATTATTTTGTGAAGCACTTTGAGTATTGCTTATTTGCCTGTGAACGTGAAGACTGATGGGCAGCAGACTTTCTATTTCAGCAAATTCCACCCTTTATTGCTGATGGTGGTGGTGAGGAGGTCAATTGGGCAGGGAGACATCTATTTGCTGTTGGTGTTGGTTTTACACAATTTGTCCCTTTTCACTCGGAGGGAGAATGTGGTGCATTATTTAATAGCACGCGTTTTGGTTCCTTCTCCTTTTGAGATAGCGGGGAAAATAGTTGTGGAATAACTTAATTTCCATTTGAAAATGTAGCCTGCCAAGTCTCATTCACAGTCCCAATGATCTGCAATTGAGGATTAGCTGCTGCATATTTGCCATTTAGGGTCAGTGGGGTGGTGGGGGGGGGATCATGGGTTCTGATATGGTTTAAGTAAGTAAGTAAGCAAGTAAGTAAGTAAGTAAATAACACGGATAATAATAATAATCCTTGCATTTGATGTAGCACTTTTCACGTCTTCTAGACCTCTCAAAGTGCTTCACAGAATATACTATAAGGAGAATTGACTGTATATTTTGTGGGCGAAACGTGGCAGCCAATTGCACACAGCGGTGTCCGCAAACAATCTTGAATTGAGTGACCAAATTTAACAAATATTATTTTTTAAGGGATTATTACTCCTGGAAAAGCAACCTGCCAATCGAATATTAATGGGATATAACAATATAGTGCCTTATCATGTTATCAAAACACCTCACAGCATTTCACAGAATTTACTGACTGAGCATTTTTAGGCAAACTCAACAGCTAATTTGCACTCATCAAAAAACAACAAAACAGCTATGAAGTGAAGCACTAATTTAATTTGCAGGGGAATTGATAGCCATATAATCTCTTCTCTTTTCAAATCATATCACAGGATCTTCAACGTCCACCTAATGATTGATATAATAATAATCATTCTTGCATTTGGTATAGCGCTTTTTGTCTAGACGTTGTCTAGATGTTTCAAAGCGCTTCACAGAATATACTCTGAAGTGAATTGACTGTATATTTTGTGGGCGAAATGCAGCAGCCAATTGTGCACAGCAGTGTCCCACCAACAGTCGTGATTTGAGTGACCAAATTATTATTTTATTTATTTTTTTCTTGAGGGATTATTATCAGGGGTAATTATTACTATAAAAGTGCTATCGTGTATTCAGCAGATCTTAACACATCTTGCAGCCTGGAAGGGCTTTAAGTATTAAGGACTACTTGGGTTTTGATGCTTAGGTAGGCTACCACAAAAGTACAAGTAAAATGTAACATCTCTCTGTTATCTCAGGCATGTTCCTTGCCTTCTGCACACCCTTAACCTTGGGAGCTCCCTCCTTAAACCACTCCATCTCATCCTCTCTCTTTCTGTCTTAAAGTTCATCTTTAAATCTTACCTCTCCCGAGCACAGTGTCCAACCCCATACCTGTGAATTGCTCCATGATGTTAGTGTACATTTGCCCACGAAACTACACAGTCAATTCACTTTATAATATACTCTGTGAAGCACTTTGAAATGTCTCAACGATGTGATAAGGTGCTATATCAAATGCAAGGATTCTTATTATTATTATTACTACTAGTGAAGAGCGAGTTGTTGCAATGCAGGTTGCAGGTAAATGCAGGTTGTTGTTGTTTGCACTCTCGATAGTCACCCGTTCACATCAGCTGAACAAGTAAAGTTAACAATCCTTCATCATTTGAAAAGAGAAGGGGGTTTCTCCTGGTGTCCTAGTAGGACTGTCCCTTGGATAAAATTGGTCAGTCACTTCTCGGCTGTTTGTGGGATATTACTTTGCTGCTTTTGCCTACAAAACACGGTCATTACACTGCACATTGTGTCCTGGGAAGCAATTAAAGGCGTCCGCCTGATCTGAAAGGCAAATACAAGGATTAGGCTTTCAACTAATTTCACCGTGCAACTTTTAACTGATCAATAGATGAGGCTATGCTACCTGAGGGGATGGTTGGTCTAACCTAACATGCCCCTTCTGAGCAAAAATCAATAGCTGCGGAGCATTAATCTCAAACACTCTCCGTACGGAGAGACTCTCGCAGTTTGCTCTGCATGTCGCAAAGCGTCTCCTATCAATTTGGAAGGGATGAGATTGTAGTTACGTGCTGGACAGTCAGTCGCTGTATTTCACCAATTTACGGAACTCTGTCAGCACTGATGTGCAATCAGACCAACTAATAATTTTTGAACTACAAGGTTTTTTTGGGGGGGAAATAGAAATCAATTAAATTCATTTAGCGTCTCTCCTAGCGATAGATTTTTCAATGTGGGGTCTAGCCCCGACTTCACCAGTGATCTTCGCAGCCCCTATCTTCCCAACCCCCTCACCCCCCGGCTATGCTGATACTGTTAACAAAACAACGCCTCCTGATCTACAATCAATTAGCTGTTTAAGGTTTGTGAGAAGAGATTAGTTATTGCTTTTTTCTTGCTCTTTTTAAAACTGCACCAGAAAGCATTTTGTAGTGCTAATCTGTTCAGAGGATAATGGCTGCTATTAAATAATAATAATAATAATAATCCTTGCATTTGATTTAGCGCCTTATCACGTCATTGAGACGTCTCAAAGAATTCACAGAATGTGCTATAAAGTAGATTGACTGTATATCCTGTGGAACGAAAAATGGCAGACAATTCCGCACAGAGGTGTCCCACAAACAATCGTAGATTGAATAACCAAATTACAATTTTTTTTAAGGGATTATTATACCCAAAAGCGATCGACCAATTGACAAACAACCGAGTTCCTATTTACTACTAGGTAAACAGAAACATGTGGAATAAGGAGACTTGCTCAAAGTTTCGCCCCGCCTGGGAATCAAACCCAAGTCCTCTCACTTCCGAGGCGAGTGCTCTAACCACCTAGTTACAGGCAACAGAACTGAACTCTACCAAATAGCTGTGGAGGAAATCAACCAATGCAACCAGTGAACCTGATAGACCCCCAGGACATCAAGGAATTTATCTGTCTTCAAACTGCATCCGACTCCAGAACAGAAAGCAGAGGCACCTCGAGGCAAGGAAAGTGGTTGAACCAAGTGGTTGGTTCAAAAGACAATCCTTGTATTTGATATAGTGCCTTTCATGTTTTACGGATATCTCAAAGCATTTCACAGGACTTACTGTAAAATGTAATGTATTTCATTAGCG